ACCTCCAGTTCCTATCACTGTCATTTTCATTGTCTCTGTTAGTGGCATAGCAATAGACTTGCTTCGAAAAGCATTTATGTGCCATGGTACCCCAAAGCCATAAAAACCCAATTACAGGAAGAAGTCATTTCACTGCCCCATGCATCCAACATCAAGCAAAATAAAGGAGGGTTCATTCTTTGTGTTACTCAAAGATACAGCTGTTCACCTCTTGTGCTTTGGAAGATTCCCTTCTGTGAAGATTTGCTCACTGCTAATTGAATAATTACTTCCTTCATTTAAATCAAGTTTGTTTGGTTCTTATATGAAGCCCCGCAGTATATTTCAACACTTAGTTCCCACATAGTGCATACAGACATAGCTCTGATTTTTTTCCCCCTACACATACAAGCTATTGTCTTGTGATCTGGAGTCTGAAATTTGTTATAAAATACCTGCCATTTTTTATAGTATTTAAAAATGATAATGATTGAGCTGACAACTACTGAAAGCACAAAGGAAATTATCCAAAGTACTAGCTTCTAGGATTCAAAGGCTTCCCTTGTTCCCACCCTTAATAGGGCTTGGGAATTACCTACAGCAGCAGATGCAGCTGCCTCCATATGCCATCCAGCCAGCCGAGAGGCTGATAGCATTTCTTGGATACACATGTACAAGCACACACAACCATACAGTCCAGAATCACTAGTGCAGAGCCTTTACATGTGCCTCTCTAGGCTCCAGCATTACTTATACAGGAGAGAACAAAGACAGCCCCTACACAGCGGCATTTGCCCCTTTCAGCACAAGCAAAATAGATGAATATCTTAAATAAATAAATAAATAAATAAATAGGCAAGATTAGGTTTAGGTAAGAAGGTAAGACAAACTCATGTAACCTAAATGAAAAAGCAACCTATTGCTCCTGTCAGTCAAGCATGCATAAGGCCTCCACATAACTTCTTACAGAGTGGAATTGACTCATTCCTAGCTTTGACACAGAGTAAACACAAATATTCTTTTTTCTCTTCATTAATTTCATCATGTGTAAATTCAGTTCCTGAGCTCCTATGAAGGTAGTAAGAAGAGTTACAACAGGAAACATTTATTTCGTGGCTAGCAACTATATCTTCTCTATTTAGGTTGTACCCTCATGCCACTTCACGAAACACTATTTATTTTTTCTGAAAGTTAGTGTTTGAGCTTTAAGAAATACCAAAGGATTAGCTGCACCTTGGTAAGTGGAAGAATCTGCTTTTTAATTGCACTTCAAAAATCTCACCCAGTAAGACTTATTCCAAAGTTCGGGTCATGACTTTACAACATTCTCTTACATTACTGAGAAAATGATACCTCTACCTTACAATCACCCACTTGCAGCAGTTTCAGCACATACTGAGATTCCCTCACACTTCCCGCTGGGATTTCCAGCAATGAAGTTTTTCAGGTGTTGAACAGGAACAGAGGGTGAAGACTGATCTAGCACGGCAACATTAAAGAAAAAAAAAAAACAGTGATCAGTTGGTTTGATTTATATGCAAATATATATCATAAAAAATTTTCTTTCAATGCAGTCACAACACAAGAGAGATTCAAGGAAAGCAATGCTGCCATTGCCTGTTGACCTATGAGAAGACAGACGATTCCAGAAATCGGAAGTCATAGAAAGGCTGATGGCTCATGAGGATGCCATTGCTTGCTCCAGCCAACAGCTCTAGGACACTGAGCACAACACAGCAAGAAAACAAGAACTTCATTCCATAATGCAATTGGTCTTGCAGTTTCCTCAGGCAGCCCTCCTGGAATAGCTGATCCAGCTGGTTTAAGTTACCCCCACAGTCAGCATACTTTTTACAACAGCTTCTAGGAATATGAGATTTTTCAGATGGAAAATGCCAAGAAGCAGCTGATGCCTTTAGCCAGTCTGTATAGTTTTGAAGCCCACAGCACTGGAGCTTTTTCTGAAGCATATCCACAGTCCCGCTGCCATGAGCCAGGGAATGTGTACCATTGTATTGATTGAAGGCTTGTCCCATTGTGTTCTTCAGCTCAACTGCCATCCAAATAGAGTAGAACTGTGTCAAAACTGCTAAAGACACTTGAAGACAAAGAAGAACTAGCAGCAGGTGCATGAGAGTCCCTTGGTGATAACGGGAGTTCCTTACAGAAACAGAAATAGCCAAAATACCAACAGGTAGCAGGACTAATGCAGCTACAACAGCCAGCCAGCCAGGGAGAGGAAAGAAAGACTCCTGAAAAAAATGATGGTAGTTCTTGCACAACAGGATCACAAAGCATCCACCAAAGGTCAGAACTGTTGCGCTTGCCCAGAAAATGACACCAAGGAACAGCAGTAGAATGCGAGCAAAATTCCTGAGCCAAGAGTCCTCATAGACCCACAGAGACATGCGTCCACCCCTCACTCTCCACATCTTGCTCAGACCTATTAGCTTATCCCTCACCACCACCATTTGAAAGGCCTCCACCTCACTTCAGCAGGTGCCTCAAATGACATCTCCACCCAAAAACAGCTTGCAAGAGGGCAGGGCTGATAGGCTCCCTTAGTGCAAAGATTAAGTTCTGAAACAGCTATTTATGTGTTATTACTTGTTCAGCATAGTCTGTAGATACCAGGAGGGACTGACTGCGCCTAGCTCGCTGTTGAGAGGACATTTACTCTGCTATTATTGAATGCAATTTCATCTGAAGGGGAAGAGTGGTTGAAAAAGAGCTGAACTTTTTGTTTTACTAGATTTCTGTGTTAAACATCTGAAAATAGGTAAACAATCAAGGATGTGGCCAGCAGTGCTGGGTCAGATCACTTAGACTACCGAAGTGATAGAACGGATTCAACTGTAAATCCTACAGCAGTAGCCAAAATAGCAATAAATGCACAAATCAGAGTCATTAAGGAAATAATTATTTAAGCAGAGCTATTCAATCAAGGATCTCTGTAGGTAACATGTACCCAGACTCATTATCCTTCCCAGTACGTTTACCACTCATTAGATTTGACGAGGGGCATAATGATGTTAATAATATTTTGCCCTTTTTTACTCAGCAAGATTTCTGCGTAGATAGCATAAATTACTCAAGACACCTGGATGAGAAATCCCTACTTCTGCATTTGCATGCTCTCAGTTTGCGTCACCAGTGATTGAACTGAGTGCTGTAATGACTGAATACAATCAACAGTAAAAACTGTATTAACTTTTCCTTATGTGCAAAGAAACTGAATTACACACAGGCTAAATGACTTCACAACAATCACAGAGGAAATCAACGTCACTTAGCCAGCAGAAGAGTATTATTTCTCAAAAGTTATACAGAAGAGAGAAGTAGGATGAGGAGCCGGTATAAAGCTTGCCACTGGTGCCAGGAATGCATATTTAAGGCCAAAAAAATATCTTCCTAATTTTCCTGAGGGGGGGAAAAAAAAAAAAAAAAAAAAAAAAAAGATGATATTTCTGTTTTCTTTCTCAAGATGCAGAACAGGGCTTGCACAATAAGCCAGCATAAGGGAGAATGCAGAGAGACATAATTCATTTTCAGAAGTGGGAGCAACTGAAGAAGACCAGAGTTGGTATTCAGATATCTGGAACCATGAAAAGTCTTACAAAACTTGATGAGTGTACATCCAGAAAATGGTTGGTTTGTAAGGACCTATTGCTGTTATGTATGCTACGCATATGCCCATCTTGGACTGATCCCTGTTAAAATGTCTTTTTGTGTGCCGATCAAAGATGTCATTAAGACTAGTTATTTTGGAGTTAGATAAAGATATCCCTGAAAGACAATGACCACTTTCCTCTGAGAAGGGGCAAAGAGAATTTCCCCTCACATTTATTTATTCTCCTATGAAGAAAGGTTGAGGGAACTGCGCTTGTTTAGCTTGGAGAAGAAAAGGCTCTGAGGAGACCTCATTGTGGCCTTCCAATAATTGAAGGGAACATATAAACAGGAGGTGGAGTGGCTGTTTACAAGGGTGGATAATGATAGACAAGAGAGAATGGTTTTAAATTGAGACAGGGGAGGTTTAGGTTAGACATTATGAGGAGGTTTTTCATACAGAGGGTGGTGACGCACTGAAACAGGTTGCCCAAGGAGGTTGTGGATGCTCCATCCCTGCAGGCATTCAGGGCCAGGCTGTATGTGGTTCTGAGCAGCCTGGTCTGGTGGTTGGCGACTCTGCTCATAGCAGGGGGGTTGAAATAAGATGATCATTGTGGTCCTTTTCAACTCAGGACATTCTATAATTCTGTGATTTATACATCACAGAAGACAACACAAACTTTATGTTTTCATAGAGCAGAAAGAAACGTTAGAAAAAGAAACAGAAAAACATTGTGGAGAATAAGAGCTACTTACTGCTAGCTCACAAGCTTTGTGGAAAGAGCACACAATCCTGCTTATCCTCTTTTCTGCCTTGCCTCATGCTTATAAAACTTAATGAGATATTAAGAACTGAGTTACAACACTATTTACTTCTAGCTTATTCTGCAATCTCTGAAATACATTAGAAAGGCTCAAACTGCCTATAGGATAATTTTACTGCACCTCTTGTTCATTTCATCCAGAGTAACTGCTGGCCTTCTCTCCATACAGAGAAGAGAATTATAATGGTTATTGAAGCCTAGAGGCTCTTATCTTTCTAAATGTTCCTCAATATATAATTTCCTGTTTACTTGAATATGACTCTTTGGACTACTGTGAGGTTTTTTATTTCTTTCTTATGATTGCAGACACAAGACGGTGTGAGCAGTGAAGTGGACCTTCAGGATAGGGGTCTGTGCCACTGCAGGCTCTCCTCCATCCTTTGGTGTCTCCATCACTCCATGAGCAAGGATTTTGGTGGCAAGGTGGGCAGTCAGGAGGATCCACCTGGCTGCCCATCTCCCATGTCAACTAGAAACACCTGCACTGGATGTCCACTGTCAAGAGGAGAGTCCTCAATGCCCAATGCCAATACAAGAGGGGAGGCTGCAGCTCCTCACAGGGAGCGGACGGCAGCGCTAAGAGGGAACTGCATGGAGCTGTGTCAGGGCAGAGTAAGGGGGAGTTAGGGAAAGGCTTTGCCCCAGAGGATGGAGGGCATGGAACAGTTCTACAGGACAGTGGGTAATGCCATGAGCTGCCAGAGTTCAAGAAAAATGTGGACATAGCTCTCAAATATAAGGTTTGGATTTGGGATGGTCCTCTATGGAGACAGGAGTTGGACTCCAAAACCCTTGTGAGTGTCTTCCAACTAAGGATATACCATTATCAGAAATCCTTTCTTTTCTGCTTAGAAATTTTATCTGCATTTGCAGCTAAAATTTTGGCTGAAATAGAGGAGAGAGACTGCAGCATGACAAAGAGACTGTGTGTGAGGCAGAGTTAGGACAGCTCCTCTGTATTCTTTCCAATGATAAACAACATAACATGATAAATATCATCCCTGCTTTCTCTGGAGTTTTTTTCTGCGTATGAACTGATGAGTATTGAAATTCAAATGTGGGTTTAACAGAGAAACTACTTTCTGGTTTGTTGCTGTAAGTATAATTCTTCAAATAAATAAAAAGTCAAATGTGTACTCTTTGAATTCATTGATTCATTGTTCTAGAAAAACATGACTAATATTAAAAAGTTCAGATAAGCTAGGAAAATCAAAATGATTTGTTCCACGTGGGCCTAGGATCCAAGAGCCATCAAGTCAACAGTGTGGTTGTACAAATGCAGTGCAGGCAGGTGACTATAATCATAGAATATCCCAATCCATAAGGATCATCAAGTCTGTTGAGGTCCTCAAGTGAGGACATCTAAACTTTTGTTGCAATGTTCAAATCAAGATGAGCAGCAAGTCCATGCAGATGTGTGTTAAAAAGAAACCTAAAGGCAAACATGGGAGTCAAGGCACCAGTAGACATGCTCTTCTAATTTTCATACAAATCCCATAAAAATGAGACAGGATCTTAAAAATCAGACCCTCATCCGCTGCACACTTTGTCACAGCAAAAGAGAAAAGCCCTAAAACTGCTTCAGAAAAACAGCTGGCATTTCCCATGGAACCCACTTTCACATGAAGGTATTGTTACCTTGACCTTGTGATGAAGTTAAATTACTCTCAAAGAAATTTATCCTTAGAGATTACAACATTTTTTTAAGATCTTAATATATGAAAGCATGTTCATTTCTAAGTCCACTTTCTAAGTCATTTCTAAGAAGTATGGCTGGGATAGTTTAGTTGCAGTGACTCAATGGATTATCAGAAGAGAAAGAGGAAAGGATAGTATCTGAATGACCAAAATGCAGGCTTTATGTCAATTTTACCTACCTCAGCTTTTATATGTCCACCCTGTCCACTGCTTGGCCTCATGAGCAGGTGAAAGATGGTCTGTAACCCAGTAGGGCTAGCTGATCAGGAAAAGGTGATAAGAGGGTATCACAGGTATTGCTGCTCTCTTCACTGATCCTGACCCTAACTGCTGGCCCTGATAGTGTGTTCTCACCAAACTGAAGAGATTTCATAGGCAGTTCTTCCAGTTTCCAATCCTGGCTGGATGTGAAATGATAGCAAAGAAACTGTAATAGGGGGGGGGAAAGGGTGGGGAGGGAAGCCACTTTTGAATCTTCTCAGTCAGATCATTCAAGGAATGATGGGTAGTGAAAATAGCACACAGCAGAAGGACTGAGTACCAAGCAGAAAGCTGTTTTTTAAAAATCTGAAAACTGTTAAATCTATTGGCTCACTGGGAATAAAGCACATTATCTTATGAGACATGCCGTATTACAAGATCACTCTGACAGCCCAAATGCAAAAAGGATGAACAAGCCTAGCGGACCGTGATCCTACAGTCTGTGCCTTGCACTATCAGTTGCCATGGTAACCACAGTCAAATGATGTTGCCGTGCATGGAACTAATATCTTTATGGGAAGCTTGAAGCAAGCAGAAGAGATACAATTGCCACCTTCTATTCATGGAGAAAATGTACTCTTCACAAAAACTGATTTATCATTGTGTGGGTGTTCCCACTAAAGCCAGTCAGATGTTTTTACACACATCTGTTTGTCCAACAAAAAGTGGCCTGTTCTGTAATTGAAGAACCACATCAAATTATTTCCAGGCTTTTAACTGATATTGCTTTTAATATTCCATATTTTCACTAATATTGAAAATACTGAAAAATCAGATGACGAAAGGCTTCTTTACTGAAATGAACACAGTAAAAAATCACAACATTTTTTCTTTACTTCTTTCTCTTTTTTCCTAGCTTCCTTTTGTTTGCCAGTCTGGAATTTCTGTAAAATGTCTTAGAACTGAAATGAATGCACACTAGCAAAAACTAAGAATAAGAAAAAAGCAAATAACAACACTTTCTGTATTTCTATCGCATTGGCACTTCAGAAGGTGGAGAATATTTTAAAAGACATGAAACGGAAAAAGAAAAAAAGGAAATTAAAACGAGAAGGAAACGTCTGTTCTCTTGATGTCCTTCGTTATATTGCAGTTGGTGATAAAAACAATTTGGAGGAATAGGTACTGTTTTAAAACTTGAAAAAATGAAAGC